ATGACAAGTGTGGTATAACGGCTAAGTACACGGATACTGGAGGCAGACTATATGGGTTCAAGGTCCTTTTTGGTCTCCTAATATGTGTAGTTGGGGCCAAGTGAATTAATTTCTCTGTGCCTCAGTTTTCTCAAGTAAAAAGGATTATTTACATGGATTCTCATGTTATAAGGATTACAAATCACCACATATTGCCTTTTCCAATATCCGTTTAAAAATGACAACTAACCTCTTCATAGCTCTGTAACCTCTAACATATTCTATATTTAGCTTATTTGTTTTGTTCATTGTCCTATCTTTTTCTATCCTTCCACTATAAAATAAATTCCAAAAAGGCAGGGATTTTTGACTGTTTTGTCAATCCCACGCCAAGAATGAACAGAGTCTGCCACATGATAGTAATGAAGTAAATAGTATTTGTGCAATGAGTGAATGAATGAATGAATGAATGTGTAGAATAGAGCCAGATAGTTAATACGTGTTATTTTATGCCAGTATTCTATTTATTATAGTAGTTCATTTCCATGGTATTTTTAAGATTTGATATACCCATTTTAAAACCAGAAAGCCAAGTACCAAATATATTATTTTCCCTATAATAAAATGATACAGTTTGGATGTCTGTCTCCTCCACATCTCGTGTTGAAACATGACCTCCAGTGTTGGAGGTAAAGCCTAGTGGGAGGTGTTTGGGTCATGGTAGAAGATCCCTTATGAAAGTGGAAGACAGATCCCTTATGAGTGGCTCTGTGTCATTCTCATCGTATTGAGTGAGTTCTCACTCTATTAGTTCACCTGAGAGCTGGCTGTCTGAAGGGCCTGACACCTCCTTCCCTCTCTTCCTTCCTCTCACCACATGTCGCACTGGCTCCCCTTCTCCTTCCACCATGACTGTAGCTTTCTGAGCCCTTACCAGAATCAGATGCAAGCACAGAACCCTGAGCCCAAATAACCCTTTCTAAAAAATAAATTACCCAGTCTCAGGGATTCCTTTACAGCAACATAACATGGACAAATGCATAAGGGTTTGTCACTTTGTAACTAGCATCTAGGAATTACTTGACTCATAAACTGGGGCTCACCCATAAGTTCAGCTGCTAAACTACTATGATGCAAACACGAAAGATTTTTGTCACCATCACACTGTTGAAATATTTCTCTCTCTCTCTCTCTCATCAACAAAAATCTCCCAGATAAAAAATTGTATTTTTGACCCTCATCCTACTTGACCTCTGTGAAGATTTGACTTTGTAAGTCATTCCCTCATTTTTTAATTCTCATGGCCTCTAGGTAAGTAATTTAAAATCCCTCCAAGTATTGATTTCCTTATCTGAACATACTGAAAAAAATTGCTTCTTCCAGGATTGTCTTGAGGAATAAGCAATGACTATGACAGCTCTTGTAAAATGGGAAACATATCTCAGGTGTCCAGTATTAGCATTATCTCTCAGCTGAGCAGAAATGGTTTAATTGTGTTAAAATTTTAAGCTTTTTTGACTTCTAAATTTCTTCTTACTTTACAATTACATATTTCAAAATGCATTTTAAGTAAAAAATCAATAGTCCCTTACAATTGCCATTCCTGAAACAATTAAGTAGATTCCTCGTGGCATGTCACCTTCTTTACAAATGACATCTCTATAGTCAAAATAGACGATTTCAGCTCTTTCCTGAATGGGGGAGAGGGAAAGAAGAATTGATATAAAAGCTTCATAGTCTACTTTTCTAAATATATATAAAAATTTAAAGCTAAAAGTGACTTCCAAGAAGTGTAAAAGCACACACTATATTCTTGGTTTCTTAATGAATTGTAAAGTGCTGACATGTTTCTATCAACTTTTAGAAATAAAGGGACAAGCAAACAAACTGTGGTCAGTAACTACCATAACAACTGATATAAGCACCCAGTAAATGCTTATGGAATGAAGAAGTGCATGAATGAATGAAAACCTTTTTTTAGCCCGTTTGGGGCTTGGGTTATAACGACAAACTAAACAAATTCCCTGCCTTCAGAAGAACGTTTAGGTATGTCAGGTAGATATTTACAACAAAGTGGCATGATTAGGACAAAGGAGAAAGGGACAGGATACTACGGAAAATGCAGAAAGGCCACAGGGCCCTTCCTGGTTGTTCAGGAAGCCTTTACAGACCAAGGGACAGCTAAGCTGAGATGTGGAAGAAGAGTACCAGTTAATCAGGGTAAAATGAGCTAAAGACCATTCAGGCAGAAGACTCAGTATCTGCAAAGACCCAGAGGCAAACAATATGTGCCATTGGGGCAACTGCAAAGATTCAACGCGTCTCAGGCAGGGAGGGCTGGAGGCCAGGCCTGCGTGGTCCATTAGGCACCAGCAGGCACCGTGCCCAGGCTCCCGACGCTGTTAGACACTCACAGCAATGTTCGTGTGTGTGTGCTTTTCCCCCTTTTCTAGCTTCAGAGGAGACACATGTGTGTTCCTTACATGGACAGATTGGGTAACGGTGGGGATTGGGTCTTAGGGAGGCCATTCCCCAGACAGTGAGCACTGTAGCCAACAGGCAATTTCTGAACGCTAGCCCCCCTTTCCACCTCCCCCTTATTGGTATCCCCAGCGTCTACTATTTCCATCTTTGTGGCCACTTAGCTCTGCATGTGAGAACATGCAGTTTTTGGTTTTCTGTTACTGAGTCCGCTCACTTAGAATGATGACCGCAGCTCTATCCATGTTGCTGCAAAGAACATTATTTCATTCTTTTTTTATGGCCGTGTAGTAGTCCATGGTGTATATACATATCACATTTTTTAGTCCAGTCAATTGTTGGTGGGCAGTTAGGTTGATTCCATGATTTTGCTGTTGCGAATACTGCAATGAACATACAAGTACTGGTATCTTTTTTTTTTTTGAGTTGGAGTCTCAGTCTGTAGCCCAGATTGGAGTGTGGTGGCACACTCCCAGCCACCGCAGCCTTGACCTGCTGGGCTCTGGAGAACCTTCCGCCTCAGCCTTCCAAGTAGCCGGAACTACAGGCACGCATCACCACACCCGGCTAGTTTTTGATTTATTGTAGAGACCAGGTCTCGCCAAGTTTCCCGGGGGGGTCTCGAACCAGTAGGCTCAGGCCATCCACTCACCTCGGCCTCCCAAAGTGCTAGGACTACAGGCTGAGCCACAAGCCCAGCCCAGGTATCTTTTTGATATTTCAGTTTCTTTTGGGTAGATCTTTAGTAGTGGGATTGCTGGGTCAAATAGTATTTCAATTTTTAGTTCTTTTCCATAGAGGTTGAACTAGTTTACAATCCCACCAACAGTGAATTAATGAGCGTTCCCTCTTTTCCACAACTGTGCCAACGTCTGTTGTTCTTTGACTTGCTAATAATAGCTATTCTGTGTGAGGTGATATCTCATTGTGGTTTTAATTTGCATTTCTCTGATGATTAGTGATGTTGAGCATTTTTTCATATGTTTTTGTCTTTTAAAATCAGAAAGGGGCACACAAAAACCTTTTGGGTACAAATATTCTAGTATATGACACTAATATATTCATCTTAATACGAACACAGCCATAAAGCGTAATCCCGTCATGCGTTTTGTGAAGGAAGAAGCCAAGGGCCCCAAGAGCTGTGGTGTTCACCAGGCAACTGCCAGGACGCGAGTGCCCCAGCATCTCAGCTCCTGCCCGGGGTCCTCTGTGCAGCTCACTGCCAGCACGCTGCACCTCGGGGCCCTGTCCTTGCCGCCCCTTTGCCTGGTGCGCTCTTCTCCCAGACATCCACAGGCATGTGCCTCGCTTATCAGACCTTGCTCAGACTTCAGCGCACTGGCGCAGCCTTCCCTGACGGCTTCACTTGCCCTCGCCTCACCTTCTATTCCCCTGTAGCGCTTATCAACGTGTGATAGACTAGATACTCATGTATTTGCTGTGTTTATTGTCCATCTCCATTTGTAAAATAAAAGCTTTGTGAAAGCAGGGACTTCATCTGTTTTGTTCACTGCCGTGTCCTAGAACTTAGAACAGTCTCTGGTGCATACAGGACATTCAATGGGTATGTGTTCAGAGTCCACATTTCTATACAACACTCAGTTGACTGTACACAGCATGAATGTTTGAAGGCACCACAGTTCTCACTGTTCCCATTTATTCTACACCCAGCTGGTTTCTGACTGACCTGAACTATAATTCAAATTTGAGACTCTTGCTTTAAAAAGTGGCTCTTCCAGAGTGTGCATCTAGAAGCCCAGAACTTGACAACTTAAAGTGGAATGCAATTGGCAATAATCAGGAAACACAGATAGCTCATCCTAAGCAGATAAGTCGTGGTAAAGAACTGCCTTTGCCCTTTAGGCTCAGAGAGAAATCAGTTATTCCACTGGGCTTTACTGGGCCACCATTTTGGCTTATGCGAATTGGCCAGTACAGGATTCGTGTTTGGACATGCTTTTCTGTTCAGATTGCATTAGGGAGTGGGAAAAAATGGATAATAATTATCATTAAACCTAAGGCATAACAGAAGACAGAAGCTTTACCTTAAAGAAGTCAATGAAAACATCTTTATTTTCCAGCCAAATGAAGTTATGGAGGCATTTATCAGGAGTGGAGGGTGGGATTGCCTTTGGAAAGTTATTCAGTGCTTTTAATTTTGTAAGAAGTACCTAAAACCAAACAATCAAAATAATGGTGATCAGATCCTGTTACAGAAAACGGACACTAGGCAAAAACTAAGGAAATCTTAATAAACTGCTGTTAAGCAAATTTAATCTTGATTTTGACTCACAGCTTCTCTCACCCTGTTTAAATTCCTCTCACCTTTTTTGGTCCCTATTCTCTCCCAAAAGTTCTTTCAGTGATTTATTTAGTTGAACCCATTGTCTTCATAGTCCCCTTAACACTGGATCCCACTTCATCTTAATATCAAATTTTCTAAACTTCAGAGTTGGTGAGTATATATTCTCTCACATTTTTTCATGTGTGTAATCTGCTTCTCACGAGGTAAGAGAAAATCCCTTATCTCCCTTATTCCCATGACATTGCCTATGTATCTCCACTATGGACCTCATTCTAGTATTATTTTTACTTATATGCCTCACCCTCCATGATTATGTAACTTTTGTTGGTTAGTGGGTAAATGACTAAAGAATAGAACAAGGAAGTGCTCATAGACTTTCTCAGAGTCTAGGGTACTAGATAGGCATTCAACATATATTTAAATTGAATTGATTTTTCTACCTCCTTATGACCTGGGATAGGCAATGATATCTCTTTTGCTGACAGTTAGGCAGTTAGTAGGTATCCGATAAGTAACTGTTGAATAATTTGATTTATCCATTACCTTTCTAAAAAACCCATTGGAAAAAATAAGTCTTTCTCCTCAGGCTTAATTAATGAGCATCAAACATTCAATTGTCTTATACAGCATTCAAAGTAATAAATGAAAAGAATAGAATACAAAATACATTTGTAGAGGTAGAACTTGAAGATTACTGTAACAAATATATTACTAAAGTCACTCTTTTCTTCCCTCAGACAGACATTAAGGCGGAATCGTGTTCCAGATTTCCCTCCTGGGGCCACGGAGAGGGGCCTATGTGGGGGAATAAGTGGAAGCACAGGGCATGGGGGTCAGTGCCGGGACCTGCCAGTGGCGGGGAGAAGACGCTCCACCCAGGAACAGTGTTCTCCGTGGGCAACACAGACAGAATGGGTGCTAAGAAGCAAATCCATACTTGGGAGTAGAAAGAACACTCTTATTTTGTGCAAATACAGACTAGATGGTAGACATAATAGAGTGGTAGGGGCTAAACATGGCTTCCCCCCTCTGTCTTTTGTCCCTCATTTTTTTTTGCAGATGCATTTATAAATTTTCAAAAGCTCATTTATGAGCGAACTGACTATCCTCTTCTCTCAGGACGGCCTCCTCTCTGAACCCACCAACACATACACACATCAGTTGATCCCCTCTCCATCACGTTAATATTTTGTGATTCTCGTCTCTTTTGACAGTCAGTGGGACTGGGCAGTATATTTCACCAGTGAATGCGGAAGCAGAAACATTTAGTCAACCTACAGAGGGAGTCAAAGGAAGATGCCATGGAGGGTAACCCTGGCAGGAAATGGAAAATCTGGAAAGTTTTCTAGGTCCTTGTTCAGGGCCTTTCCTGAGGCCCGGCCACATGGCCTGACAGTTGTGAGCTCTGTAAAATATGTGTCCTTTTACTAAATCCCCTAACCATTTCTTTACTAAACTTAGTTCAAGTTGGTTTCCGTTACTTGCAACCGAGTAGTTCTGACTAACGAAGCACACCAGGGAGCGCTGGCATTGGCTGCCACTGACATTGTCAAGGGCGGCAGGCAATTACAGAGTTAACACCTGTGCTGAAACACCTGTTTCCAAGCTAGCCCTCTTCATTACACTCTGCTGGAGTGTAACTGCAGGCTGGGATGTTGGGCTGATGGAAGTGAGCAAATTGCAAAGTTATTTTATTACCTTATTCATTTCAGTGCACCCATCTTCATCAATAAGCCCTCTTGACGAAAGGAAGGTGAGGTTTTCCAGAGCTTTGGTAATCACAGTCCGGATGGCCTGCTTAGTCTTCAAAGCAATGACAACATCACGAACCTCACGCTCTAAGCATCCTAAAGCAAATAAGATTCAGTAAGCAACCTATGCAATGACCACAGTAACTAGTATTTGTAGAATCGTTTATAATTTCCAAAGTATTTCCACAATATCCTTTTGTTCTCGGTCCACACAGAACTCGTGGGACCAGCAAGACTGGAGTTGTTTTCATCGTGCTTTCCCTGGCAGCTCGGAGAAAATCGCTCTCTCTGCCTCCTTCCCGGGCCTCTCTCCCTCATCCCTCTATCAGGCATCGTAGTGTGGCACTGCTGCTTTTGCCATCCGTCTCATCCTCCAGATTATGTAATTTTGGTTGCTTGGATGAGTAGATGACTGAATGAAAGCATAAATGAGCCCCTGGCCTTTGGCTGCCGATCCTTTCTGGGATCGAGTCTCCTACTCTTTCCACTTTAATAAATATGAGAAGTCAAGGACTGTTCTGTGAGGCAGGGTTACAACTGTGTGTTTCATCTTCACAATGCTAACATTGAGCACAGTGCCTTGCCTACGGAAGATTGGCATTTTTCAGTGAAACGAGCTGACCGTAAAGTGAAAGGTCTTGGTGTCAGATATACCCGGGCTAGAGATCTGACTTACCACTTACTAGCCTCAGGCAAGTGCCTCACAGAATAATTACAAGGGTTGAGACAGCACACAGAAGACAGCTAACCGCTCCTGCCATGCTCCACATTCAGCAGTCGACTGCAGCAGCCCCATGGAAACAGGCACTCCCCTCCACAGGACCGATCTAGAACATTTTGTGATGTTCCATACCTATCTAGGCCTCCAATTTTTAAAAGCACAGAAATAAAAACCTGCCAATATGTAAATGGCAACAAGGGTCCTGGTTTTCTGAAACAGTGCCAAAATGTTCTGCCCTCTTGTCTCCAAACTCACACTTTCATCTATTAGACTGCATTCCTTCCACTCTGATTTTGAAAGCATGATTCCCATAAACCCATATGGTGTCTTACGACATAGTCAGGAACAAAAAGTGGTTTTGCTTTGTTTCTTTTCCATTTATTAAGGGCACATGCCACACACTGAGAGCCTGGTCCACAGTCCTGTGTGAGGAAAGCAGACCCTAAAAGCTCGGCAGAAAACTCTCGCTGTCTGTCTGTGTACTTCAAGTAAAGTAGAGTGGCTGTAGATGCTCAAGAATGACATCCTCACAAAAGAAAAACCAAACCAAACAGCCTTTTGTCAAAGGTGAACTTCATATGTCTTCTCCTCTAGCCACAGGGACTCTGATCGTGCCACCTTGATACACTCTGCACTCCTCCCTTCTTTCTGTTACACTCCCATAGCAACAAACAGGACTCCTCTGACTTTCTGCAGTCATCTACTGATGTGGCCATACACTGCACCAGACCCTGCACTGTTTAAGGGTCGACTTATTTTTGCTTTCCTATACTCGGCCAGTTAGCTGGGTTCGGTAGATGTTTGTTGAGTTCACAAATGGATGAGCAAGTGAATGAAAGCATGAACCTGTCTTCCTTTGTTAAATTACAGGATAATAGAGTTTGATTATAGGAAATCAGATACTCCAACTACCCACCTAGTTCTTTGACAGCATCTCGCTCGTTGGTTTCCAAAATTTCACAGTTTCTATAAGAAATTAAGAAAAACATGCATTTCTTATTATACCAAGTCACTTCTGGTTTTAAATTGTGGGAAATTCATATGGTAGAGGAAATTTCACTGAGTTACATTTAGGAGAGCTGCTTGACACAGTTCTTCCCTCTGGGTCGAGACTGCTGCTTTCCTCATGCTCACATGCGAATTGCAACGAACACTGTGCAGTCAGTAGCTTGCATAACTACTCTGCCTAATCATTCCCAGGAAAGATTAGTATGCACTCCACTGTGCACCAAGAGTTCTCAAAGACAGAGCCTGATTCAGGGTGAGCAGCTATTTGAGAAACCAGTCTGTCGGGAACAAAAACAAGTGAAATGATGAGAAAACATGGTGTTGATTAATTCATGTTTCCTACAGATAACTCCTAGCCACTGACTGTTCAACCAGTCATGCAATAGCTGTTTGTTGGAGGCCCACTGTGTCCCAGGCACTGCTCCTCATGACAGTTACTCTCTAGCCCTGAGTCTCTGAGGAGCTAGCACTTGGCCACACCAACAGTCCTAGGATCAAACGACTGACAGTTCCCTAGGGCTGTCAGGTACAGGTGTCTAAAACTCTGTACCCAAATAATGCATGACATGGTGCTTCTTATAGAGAGTAACTTATTTGTTATGTAAAGTGTAAAGTTAAGTATTTGTGGGGGGTTTTGTTGTTCTTTTGTCTTGGCTTAGAAAAATACCACATCTAATAAATCTTTCATTTTGAATATAAGAATAAAGTATATAATTTTTATTAAATTGTTTCTTCTCACTTAATGTCACTGAATTGATATTAGGAAGGTGTGGGAGGGGGGCACACCTCATCAACAAGGGTACTGCATAATAAACATTTGTATACCTAACCCTGAATTGTACCCCACATCTTTAAAATTAAAAATTAAAAAAATATATTAAGAAGGTGCCAAATTACTAGCCTGTCCGTGGCACCACATGCTGTAGTCCAGCCCTGCTCACATAGGTGTATAGATAGCAGCTTAACCCTCTTCACACCAAATAAGACTTATGGCAACACTGTAAGAGTGTTCTAGAATGACATTGCACAAGAAAACATAAGATTTGGCTCTTGCCTACAAAGAAAGTGTAACCATGGAGTTTCCAGAACCAAATCACTTTCAGAATAAACACCAGTTTGATATCTAAACATATCTCAAAAGTCTTTACTGAAGTCTCCTTCAAAAATGCCAAAAGAGATTCATTTCCTCTCTGACATGTCAAGGCAACTGCCCTGAAATCTCTTGTGTTCTCCTAAGCTCCTCAAAACACAACCTTAACTCCCCCCAGTGGCTCTTATTTCTCTTTTCTTTCTGTTTGTGAATTTTTTTCTCCTATGAATCGTTCTATGGTCTTTCTAATATACATCAATCTAGCCTTAAAGTAGTTCTTTTAAATTTCTTCTCCATCCTTCAAAGTAAACCAATGGGACAGAGTTCTGAGGTACACTCATGTTTGATCCAATAAAGGTAAGTATTGTCACTTTCCCTCTTCTGACTTCAAAAAGGAAAGAACCTCTCTTTCTTGGCTAAGAGCCTGAGGTAACTAACAGTCTTCACAAAAAACAGGCACCATAACCAAAAGACATAATCCCCAGCTCATCCATGGTTTTATGTATACACACACACAGTCATTGTATCCAATGTCACTAGGATTTAAATTAATTGTCAGGTTAGAAATCAGGAATCTCACTTGGGCTGAGAAAAATCCTTTTCAACTGTTGATACAATTCAGTGTAGACCCTCATCTATACATATGAAAATATAACCCAGCCGGGCTCAGTGGCTCAGCCTGTAATCCCACGCCTTTGGGAGGCTGAGGTGAGTGGATTGCCTGAGCCCGCGGATTCGAAACCTGCCTGGGGAACTTGGTGAGACCTCATCTCTACAATAAATCAAAAATCAGCCGGGCATGGTAGCGCGCGCCTGTAATTCTGGCTACTCGGAAGGCTGAGGCAGAAGGATCGCCAGAGCCCAGCAGGTCGAGGCTGTGGTGGCCAGGAGCAGCCACTGCACTCCAGTCTGGGTGACGGAGTGAGACTCCAACGAAAAAAAAAAAAAGAAAGAAAATATAACCAAAATCACCAAATATTGGGGAAAAACAGAATGAAAGACAGGAAACAAAAACAACAAATAGGCTAAACTCCAAGGAAGCAGAATTAATACAGGAAACAAAGAAATTTTTACAACAAAGAGATTCAAGAGAATATCACATCAATTCTTTAAAAAAGGAAATATCTGCTATGAAAAAGAAGCAATCACACTTTTTGGAGATCAAAAAAGTCACTGTCAAAAAATTTTTAAGACACAGTTTAATAGATGGGCTAAGCAGCAGAATGAACACAAAGACTGAATTAGTAACCTAGAAAATCAAGTTGAGGGATTCTCACTACAAAGAGTTGACAGTTGAGTGAAAAAGAAAAGACACTTTTAATCTGAGGAATCCTAGCCTCCTCTAAATTATCAGGTCCAGAGAGGCATGAGAATAAGACAGCAATCAATCACCTCCCACTTATCCCCCTTGAGCTAAACAGACGCCTCTTGAAGCTGTTTGCTGTGTGGCCTCTAGACTGCTGCCGCAAGTCACTACAAATTAGCCCAGCTACGCCGCATGCCAAACACCACAACTCATACTCTATAGTTCAACAACATATAACCAATAACTAATCAATAGTATTTCTGTGAACCAATGAGAATTCCTTACTAACAAATGTGTATCAGCCTACCCCTTGCTTCCCGTTTTGCTTTTTTATTTATTTTTTATTTTTTTTATTTTTATTTTTTGAGTTGGAGTCTCACTCTGTCCCCAGACTGGAGTGCAGTGGCCGCTCCCAGCCACCGCAGCCTCGACCTGCTGGGCTCCGGTGATCCTTCCGCCTTAGCCTTCCATGTAGCCGGAATTACAGGCATGCACTACCACGCCCGGCCGATTTTTTGATTTATTGTAGAGATGAGGTCTCGCTGCCCAGGCGGGTCTCAAACCCGCGGGCTCAGGCAATCCACTCACCTCAGCCTCCCAAAGGCGCGGGATTACAGGCTGAGGCATCGAGCCCGGCCCCTTTTTGCTTTTAAAAATCTGCTTGTAACAAAGGCCACAAGGAGTTCATATCCAAGGTTACTTGGGGTTGAGTCCTCTGGGCAGCTGTCCTCACCTTGGCTCAAGTAAACTCTTTAAAGCTCTATTCTGTACCTCAGTTTCTTCCTCTAGGTCACATTTCTGATGCAACAACCTGGATTCAGAGCCATTTCCCCCCTGCCCCCGACCCTTTGCCGGTCCTCTCAGACTCAGTGTCTGGTCAACCAGAACTTCTTGTGTTCTTCCGGCTCCAAGAGTAAGGGGTGTAAGGGTTCTCCAGAATTTGGGCCTCCCTACTTTTTGGTGAGGTCTAGACTTTGCTTGAGGTGTTCTTTTCAACCTTCCCTTTCTAGAACAAAGGCTTCCATCTTTGTCTATGGGAAAGAGATTCAGGTTTCAGAAAGAAAAAAAAAGAAAAAATACGAGATTTTTTCTGTCTCTGTAACACTCTCTAAAAGACAAGGTGCTTGAAAAAAGCTTTATGCCGGAGTTGAGACTTGAATAAGGTTTCAAAGAAAGGGCAGGTCTTAAATGAAGAGGAAGAAAGGAAAATAAAGCCAAAATTTGACACGGAAAACTTGAAATCCTGGAACTGCAGTACTCATTTTTTTTTATCACTCAAGACCCTCCTCACTTCTAGGCAGTGTGCAGTAAGTGCCAAGTGTGAGCTCAGAGACAGAGTGAATGATCTCCTGAGCAGGCTCCCTCTCTCTCATCCGTTCGCTCCAGGCCACTCTGCAATTCAGCAATCTTCCTACATGGGCTATTTTAAATTTCATATGTATTTTCTACTTAAGGATAGTCAATGGCTTCTCATGGCCTAGAGGGTAAGGTCTTTGGATGTAAATATAGGACATAACACAGAAAAAATTTGCAAAAAATAATGACATAATTTTACAACTTGAAAATGATATAATGAAAGAGGTAAGAGTATTTCTTCAGTTCTCTACAACACTCAGAGTCAGCCCCTAGGAACCACTCCTATATCAAATTCCTCTACTTCTTACAATAATAATTTGAGCAATATGCATATGTATTTAATTTTGTATTTATTATCTCCAAATAGCCTTTATTTCTCTCTGCCATGAAGTATAAGGAGCTTAGAACATTCCTCTCCTTTAACCTTTTCTTTTTATTCCTGTCTCAAATTTTTGGAGCTATTATTTTTAGAGGGGAAATGTTTATAACATTTACACTCCACTTTGTAAGTATAATTAAGTCTTTGTTCTTGTTAATACATGACTTTATAAGTAAAAAAAATCTTTTACTTTGTTATGATAATATAAATATTCACTGTAGAACCTATCATTTGATTTAATCCATAGCAAAGAAAATATGATCTGATGTCATTAAAAGTTTACTATGTGAAAGAGACTCTTTTTAAAATAATTAAATTAAATTTTAGATTCAGGAGGTACATGTGCATGTTTGTTGCGTGGGCAATTAAGTCCTCTGAGGCAACATGGATTGGAGCAGGTTATAGGTGGATTCAAAGATTTCCTGACTGACAATTAGTAGCTAGAGTTAGCTACGGAATTTTGAAAACACTGAAGAAAATGGACAGCTTAAGAAATAATAAGGGAATCAAGTTTCTTAATATGTAGATGAAGCTTCATAGGTGGTGGCAGACTTCAGAGAGAATGGATAAGCATCTTAAAAGGTGCCTGGAGTCCCCAAAAAACATCTGAACTGGGTCATAAAATATGTTTTCTTTCTTTCTTCCAGAATTTGGGCCTCCCTACTTTTTGAGGGATGCTATGTGATGTTATGCCAGAGTCAGGTTGGAAAGAAACCACAACTATATAGCTAATAAAAAGCCCATCTCTCCAAAAAGGTCAGAGTTTGGTCCACATTATGAAGAAAATGAATTTGATGACAATAGCTGAAATGTAAAGATCAGAGACTGTTCTTTGCAGCATCTTCTATGACATAATAAACAGCTGAATACCACTCAACTATTGGAATTTGTGTTTGCTCAAATACACACAGAAATGGTCTTAAAATTAATATGCCTAAATTGTTTTTTTTTCAAATTTACCCATTTCTCACCTGATATATTGATTCACGGCCAGAAATATGTTTTACTAAAAGTTTGGCATCTTCTTGACTTTTGACATAGCCTTTTGTAATACTGTACATCAAGCCGAGGCCATTTCTGATGCGCACATCTACAATCTTTGTCAGTCTTGGTATTAAAATCTGGAATAACGAGGAGGAAAAAAACCATGTAAAATTGGTGAGGAGAAGCACCCTCTGAGACAAACGTACTTTTTTTTTTGAGTCAGAGTCTCACTGTCGACCTGGCTGGAGTGCAGTAACAGGCTCACGGCCACCGCGGCCTCGACCTGCTGGGCTCCGGGATCCTTCTGCCATAGCCTTTCAATCAGCTTGAACCATCGGTGCACACCACCACTCCTGGCTAATTTTTAAATTAATTGTAGAGACAAGGTGCATCATGGAGTACAGCTTTGAAATGACCCTCTTGAAACCCCTCTCGCTGTCCAGTTTCGAGCCCAGCAGGTGGAGGCTGCGGTGGTCGTGGACAGGCTGTTCCCGAGCCCCTGGGTTCAGGCAATCCTCTCACCTCCACCTCCAAAGTGCTGGGATTACAGGCGTGAACTATCACATTCGGCCTGAGACCAAAAAGCGGCCTCTTCACATCAGCAATAGCACCGCCCAGAAACTTGTGAGAAATGCACATTCTCAGGTCCCACCCCCGTCCTACTGAATGGGACACTCTGGGGGTGGGTCCAGCAATCGGAGTTCCAACAAGTCCTCCAGGTGATTCTGTGCATCCGCTAGTTTGAGATCCACTCCCTGAAGGATAACTGACTCTGTGGCCATCGGGGGAAGTCTCTAGCACTGCTGCTTGCTTCATCCTCTCCACCGCAGACTTCGGGACGCAGGAGCGCTGGTCCCACAATCTGGGTATCACCTAGTGAACAAGTGATCTCTTCGCTCGGGAGAGAAAGAACCTTCCCGCTCTAAATTTCTCTAATCACAGCCGAGACCAGCTGGTGCGGTGACCGAAGGG